CCCCACCTTGCGCGTTCAGCGCGGTGGTCAACTGGCCGCTGTCGGAGGCCTTGTACATGGAGGAGACCACAGAGTCCACCTGCTCCACCAGCACAACAGAGTCGGCTGCGCGGCGGGGCAGGGAGGCCGGGGGGGGGGGAGCGGTGGGCAGGCAAGGACCAGTTGGAACTCGGAAGAAGCGGGCAGCACCCCTTGGGCCAAAGCGAAGCGCAGGGTGGGCAAGGACCGCAGTTGATTTGGTGGGGAGGCGGGTTCCCGTCCAAACATGGTTTGACGCCCAGGCACAGAACCTTGGCAGGAGGAGCTCACCAAAGAAGTAGACTCCCGTCACATCTTCCGGCACGGCGGCAGCAACGTCTGGGGGCAGGTACCACGCAGCCGACAGCGGCGGCGGCGGCGCGCCGGCCAGCCCGCTGGCGCTCTGGGAGGCGTTGAGGCCGGTGGCCGCCGCCAGTGTCGCCAGCTGGTCCACGCGTAGGTTGCACTTGCAGCAGATCTTGCCGGTGGTGCCTGGGGCGTCGAAGAGGGGGGCACACAGTAGAGATGGTCTTGGAAGGGGCGTTGTGCATGCCTGGCACCTACCAGGCTGACTGCAGGGGGACCCCCTGGCCCCGCCAGCATCTCAGCTGGCCTCCCTCCCGATTCACCCGCATGGTTGCACCCCATGCACCCCTGCCACTCACCAACATACAGCCCGGGATTAATGGACGCGCCAGCCATGTCGGATCCATCAGGTTTGAGGGTGCGTGCCTTGCAGCTCTGGCGGCAGGCGGTCATGTCGGGCACTACCGTGTGCGCCGCGCTGCTGCACTCGCCCGCGCTGCCGCCCGCGCCGGCGGGCGGCGCAACCTGCTGCTGCAGGCGGCGGCTGTGGAGCAGCAGGCGGCGAGCGCCTGCAGGAGGGGACAGCACACATGGCGAGGCACGGTAAAAGCACGGCGACGGGCGGCTGGGCGGCTGGGTGGCGGAGGCGAAGCGGTGAAGGATGCAGCTGGGGGGTGGTGGGCCGAGCCTCCCGCGTGCCAAGCCTCCCGCCTGCCCCGCCTCCCGCCTGCCACGCAACGCCACAGGTGCGCCGCGGCCCACGGGTGCAGCCCCGCGCGCCGCGGGCGGCAGCTCACCGCTGTCTGGTGGCGGCGGCACCGTGTTGCTGGGCAGCAGCGGCACGTTGCTGGCTGTGGAGGGCTGCTGCGAGCGGTAGACCCAGGTGGATCCGCTGATGCCGCCCATCACGCTGAGCACATCCGTCTCCCGCTGCTCGCTCAGCGGGAAGCTGACGCCCGCCAGGCTCAGGACCGCCTTCACTAGCTGCAGGTGGCAGGGGGACGCGCGCGGGACGGAGCCAGGGGGCAGTGGGTAGGGGAGATGGGAGGTGCAAGGCTGGCAGCGGCGGGTGATGGGTGGCGGACGAAGGCGTGGGTTGTTGGTAGGAGGCACTGGGCAAGCAGGGGAGGGCACCATGGTGGAGGGGAGGGAGGGAGGGAGCGTCACCTGTGTTGCCGGTGGGGGCGGTGGCCGCGGGCGCGGGGAGGGCGGCGGTGGACTGGGCGCGGGGGCTGGTGGGCCGGGCGGCGGCGAGTCTGGACAGAGGGCAGCGGCGGCGAGCACCTGGCCTGAGAAGGCAGCAACCATGCCGCTCGAACTGAGCGCACAAGGCAACACACCAGCCCCCTCCCCGGCTGCTGTTGCGTGGCGGCTGGAACCAGGGAGGTGAGCAGGCACTGGGCGTGGCTGCGCCAACGCCAGCAGCAGGTGCGGCGCGCACCGGGGGGCGGCGGCCGCAGCGGCTCCTCGAATCGGCAGTCGCAGCAGGTGCCCTCCTGCAGTCCTGGGTACACCACAGGGCTCATGGTTGTGCCTGGCTGCAGGGCTGCCAGCTGGGCGTCGCAGCGGGACGCGCAAAAGGCGCCATCAGGCACAATGATGTCCGTCTTCTTTTCGCAGCCGCCAAATGGGATGGGTGGCAGGGGAGGCAGCGGCGGCCGGAGCGGCG